ATGCTGTTGATAGCTTCTATGTTTATTTAATCTGCTTTCCTGTGTTGTTTTTCTTTTGCAAAGAAACAGTTGTTAAAACATTGCCAGCACAATAATTGTCTTAAAATTTAGTCATATTGCCTTTTGAACTGTGTGATACTTCCAAAGCACAAAAGAGTTAAAGAAAAATAAACAGATTACTGCAACTTTCTGCATTTCAAAACAGAAGTAAATAACAGCTGTGCAGAGCTCAGGTCCCTTTCCAATAGCTAGCTGCTACAGCAAAGGGGATGAACTGAGTGGAAACACTGCAGCAGTCATCTTTTGGCCTTTCCTCCTGCAAGATGTTTTCTAACTCCAGTTTAGGGGATTACGTTCTTCTTGATCATGACAATATTATTCTTACAAGAACAAAGATGAGGGCAGAGGGCAAGGCATGCTGCTTGGATCACTGGGAAAGGATGGTCCATGTTAGTGTCTCCTAAAGACAGCTACCTCAAACAGCTGCCTACTTTAGCTATGCTTAGAGCTAAATGGTTATTTCACAGACTGCTGGACTAATGAAATAGTGCTCCACCATTTATGCTACTTTGCATTGAAAGAGGGTCTAGGAAAAACTCACCCAGCCAGAGGATATACCATCTATAGGGAGACTGTCACTGCTTGTCCGTGATACTGCTTCTTGCAGCATCCTTTGCAGGAGCGTGGCTGGAACATCTTATTACTGGAAAGGGTGTCACTCAGCACAGAGCAGCCTGGCAGGCTGTTCTCAACTGTGGCAGGGCTCACTTGCCACCCCTCAACAGACAGCAGGTCCATTTAGTAGCTAAATGTTTTGGTTCTTCTCTGGTAAATGCCAGAGCCTTATTCTTGCAATCTATGGTCTAGACTATTATAGTCTTTGCTCATTTTACATTGGCTTCCTCCAAGCCTTTTTAGCCTCTGCTCATGCAATTTCCATTGACTATGCATAAGATACGTGCAGAATCTAAACATTCCTTTGCGTATTGGCTGGAAACGTTTTAATTAAATGGCTCTCATTCTCCCTCTCTCCTTCTGGCTTATAATGAAAAGACTTGCTTTTGGTTCCAATTCAGAGCAGAAGCACTGCTGAAATATTGAAAAAATTAATGGATTAGCAAAGTATGCTGGGTACTCCGTTTGAAAAATATGAATGTCTTATTCACCTAGCTTACTTTGAAGGCAAGAACGAGAGGCTTTTGCTGTGGATAAAGATGTTCCACATGGAGCTATAGCCACTGTTGCTATCTCCAGATGTAAACAAATCCTTACAAATCTGGCTGCAATAGGATTCTTTCTGGGCAAAGAGGGAGCCTAATAGCTCATCCTGAGGCATCCCAAGTGCACTAGACACCGAGGATGGTATTCATGATGCCTGATTTACCCATCTGTAAATTATTCATTTGATCTGAGCTAATCAGCTAGGCTCTCTCAATAGTCAATGAAGACACACACAAGTTGACATGGTTTGCATCAAGTTCTTAGGGATCTTGTTTCTCTCCACTGACTTCTGGGAGAGCCCAGACTACTGTAACTGTAATGGTATATTAGTAGCCTATTTCCTTTTTGTCCACCATTGTATTGAGAGAATTACAATGAAAGTAGCATGTTATTCCTGTATATAATCTAGCACCCCTTTGATGACTAGCAGAGAACAGCTGTGCAATTCTGCTCTATATAACTGCACATATACAAGAATTAATTATTTCTATATTAAGAAATAAGGTTGACATGAGTTGCCAGTGAGGCTTTCATCCAAGTGTGTAGGGGGAATTTTCTCCTGGTAGCATTGCTGTTCATCAAGTGTATTAACTGAGACATTTCAATTATGTTAATTAGTTATTTCCTAATTCTTTGTCTTATCACTTTATAAATTGTCATGCTGTTTGTGGGGTGAGAGCAACAGTGTGACTGTGATTCAGGATCTGTATTACTGGAGGTTTGCCTTTAATAAGAAAGGATGCTTTACTCTGAGCAAGGCACCAGGACTTGTATTTTGAAAGCTTCTGTAAAAGAAAATATTGATTTTCAGTTTAGTTTCATTCATCATGTTACAAAACTTAGCAGTCTGTGGCAGACTATACCAGGAATGGTTGTGACCCTGGGAACAATATGCCTAGTATATGTCATTTTTATTGACATAGAAATTGAGTTCATTTAATAGTAATGAAGAATTGAGTAGTGGTGTCCAGTTCCATAAGAAATTATTATAAGATCTGTTTCACAACTGACTTGTGTGTAAGGCCAGAGTAAAGTAAAATACTGAGACATGATACGATTGACCTCTCTTGAGGTGAAGAGTTAAGCATCATCTACTATGTGCCAAATGCATTAAAACTGAATTCAAATCTTGTCTTTTCACAGTACACTCCTACAAGGGTTGGGGTTTTTTTGTTCATTGGAGAGCTCTTCTATATGTCAGCATTATTGGAAGATTTTCAGTACAGATCTTCTCTAAACTATTCTGTAGCAAGGAGTGACTAAATCCTTATCTTGTTCATTGCTGGACAAGATAGTAGTTGGAGATGTGTCCTTTTCATGTAACCGGGACTGAGAACAAAAGCCTCCTGACAGCAGGTTATTTTCCTGTCTTTGTAGCCTTTGGTGTGTGTGACTTGAACTGAGACGACAGCAGTTATTTTCCTGATACTGCCAGCAAACAGCATTGAAACAATAACTTTGTTATCCAAGAACTGCTTATGCAAGAGCATTTATCACAGCTGGGATGTTAATTCCAAAAGCAAATATAACTCAGGGTTTTAAAAGTATGTCTGTTTTAAGGTTGAGTGTATGGGAAGGCACGTCAGAGGTCAAAGGTGCTGTTGACTACAGTTGCGGATCAGTAAAGTTTTCAAAAGGAGATGCCAATGTGATCAAAAATAGATTTAGTTTTGTGAGCATTAGCACTGTAGAAACTATGATTCAGGGAGGCATCTAGCACATGCAAAAAGCATTTGGCAGTGAGAAAGGCCTTCAGTGGAAACCATAGTATTCAAAAGGTGCCAGAACACGTAAGTAGCTGGGTACAGCCTCTGTGGATCTCTTGGTAGCAGCTCCTGCAAAGTGCTCCAAAGCCTGTGCATCCATCACGGTACCTTCTCATTTATCTGCTTGCCTTTGGTGTCAAGAAACAGACTCCCACAAGTTCCTGAGTACCAAAATTACAGCTACCCACTCTCTTGTTACAAAACCCTCTGGTTCTCCTGTGACAGCCATTGGAATGGAACAGTGCTGGGGGAGAGTCCTGCAGCCCACTGGCAGCCAAGAAGTATGAAGGCAGCCTGAGGACTGAAAGATCCTCAGGCTGCTGAGGATCTGATTATTATTACAGCATATGCATATATGAAATAATGACTGTAGTATTGATTATACTGTGTATTGTCCTTCTTAATTATAAGAAACACCTTTTTCAGCTTTCTTGAGGTTGACATGAAAATGCTCCTGAGTTACAGGACCTGCAAACCCCACTTTTTTTAAAGACACTTCATCTTGATTAGAAGAATTCCCAGTAGTAAAACTATGTCAGTGAAGTCAAACAAGCACAAAAGCCATCTCACACACTCTTGTATTAGCCTGTGGGCAGATCAGGCCTCATTACTCCTTTCATGAAGCTATAGCAGTATAATAACAGTTATAAAGACTGGAGGGCCTTTGGGATATTAGTAGCATGTTAGATATCTTACCCTGTGTTCACTATGAACTTCAGAGGGGTTTTTTTCATCATTTTCTTTTTCAGTGGAGAAACTCCTACAAATGTAGGAGCCAATTTCTAGTCACCTAACTGGTCACACACATAACCTGTAATGACAGGATTTGTGTTCAGTAAGCAACACTCATGATGTTTATTTTACCCACTATATAACTGGCTCCACTATATACATGTCTCCATGCTTATTTCAGGCTAAAAGCATGCAGGTGTTTAGCACTGAACCAGAAGAATATCTTTTCCTATTTTACCTCCAAAGTAGTTCTATTATGAAGATCTATTCCTAAACTAGCACATAGATGTCACTTAGAGACAGGTTGTAATGGGAAACATTTGCTTTTTGGCTAGATTAGTGCATTTAAATGGATCAATGATGAGATGCAGCTGTAGGGTGGAGGCTCTTTAAAAGCTGCACTTCTCAGTGCCAAATATAATGAAATACGGATGACTTCCAGCTAACTTATTGTTGATCTTTTTTTGAGGGGAAATTTTGCAATATGAGTATTTGATACTGTGAAACTGTGCTGTGGAAAATCAAAAAAGATATACAGTAATTATAAGACAGATAAAGGGAGGAAACAAAAGCTGACAAAATAGGAGAAGTAAATGTGAAATGAGCTGGAGACAATCAAAGATGAGTAAGAAATGAGAAAAGGTAAAACTCTTTGTAAAAAAGAGATGAAAATAAAGAGAAATAGATGGAAGGAGTAATAAGGAAATGATCAGTAAAAAACTGGGTGCAAGCAGAGTAACCATTATATAAGAAGAAAAAATCTTCAGGAATAAACTGTAAAGCTAGACAAATTCAGAGCTAAGAAGCCCGATTCTGAACTGGTGACTTAACAACACAGGTAAAATAATCTATTTGGTTTGCTATGCTCTACTTACAGCTCTCGATTTGGGTTGCATTACTTACCTAAACTTATGTGCTCAGATATGTAAGAAAAGGAGACTCTTGAAGTCATTCAGAACAATCTTGCTTCCCAAGTAATTTCCTTTTTCTCTATATATATCTACCACAGCCCTTATCAGTTTATTTACCTTGTCTCTGACTGTGAGATGGGGAACTCCCAGGCACCTTGTGCTAATCCAACAATATTTCAAACAGAAAAATGAAGTCTTTTGCCAGTGAAGAAATGCAACACACCACATGGAGCTGCTCAGCTGAGAAAGAAATGGCATACAAAAAAAGCCCTGACCTATTGTCCTTTTCTGTGAACTGCAGAAAACGAAGACAGTTCTGGAGATAACAGAAGTCAAATAATTTTTATCAGATCCTTAAGCTTAAAAAAAGATGTGTGCAATTTCAGAAGAAATCCTCAAAATGTGACTCGGTTTGGGTTCAGCTTTCTTCAGCACTTCAACACAAAAAAATGCATTGCAGTAGAATTTAATTAGTTGGAAAAACATCTGTGTGAGGACAGAAAGAGAAACTGTGCAGACTAACGCTGCTCATGAGGTAACCCATAGTTTTACGTAACAGAAGGCTTGAAAAGTGCAAGTGGACAAGAAGGTCAGTTGTAACTTCTCTGAATTTGCCTCTCACATTCATTTCTTTTAGCAAGCATTTGCATAACTGTATCAAAGCTGATTTTTCTTCTCAAAAAGTCCATGCAGCTGGACCAAGGGGGTTTGCTAAAGACACAACCATAAATGAACCATTTTCTTGGCTTGATCTTTCTGAGAACTGGAAACTTGAATCGTTCATGGGAATCAATGGCTTTTTGGGTCCGGATTCTAACTGCAGTAACTGTTAGAGGAGTTGGACAATCTCTGACATGCGGCAAAGAGTGAAATGCAACAACAGAAGCTGTTTCTAACAAGAGCTGTCTATGGCAGTCCCTATTACAGCAAGGCTGCATACAGCATTTTGCATTTCAAATCGCTTCAGCTCTGCCATCTAGGGGAGCTCAGCCCAACAGGGTACATGGTCGAGGAAATAATGAGGATTCAGTCCAAAACAAAGAAGCATTTTGGCAGAAAAATCCTCTGATGTTCCCCAACCAGGTCTGCGATGCGGGGAGGAGGAGGGCCCATGGGGGACTCCTCCGGTTACCCTAGCAGGCCTGAGCTGTAACATTACCACAACACAGAAAAATGATCAGCGAGAGTCACATTAGCATTTCAACCTGACCATAATGAGGAGAACACAGTGCAGCTGCAGGCCTGTCAGTCCTGCCTGAGCAGACTCTATGCAAGTCATGTTATTTAATTTCAGGATAAGAGAAACAGAGACTAAAACCATCTTTTGAAACAGTCTAGCTCATCCCTTTCCAATTCCAGCTGGGTTGTCCCCAGCCCTCTGTTTTTTAGTGATTTATCTTGTCTAATTTTAAAGACTCAAGAGATGGAGTTTCCAACGCTTCCCGTGGGAAATTAGTCCATGGTCTGATAGACACCGCCAGGATATTTTCTTGATGTTCAACCTTCAGTGGTTTTCCTTTGTTCAGTTTAATCTCATTACTCCCAGTTATTCCCCGTTGGTCAGTGCTAAGGGCTCAGCCCCTCTTTTTTGTGTTTACACCTTCACAGTTGGATACAGTTGCCTTTAGAAAACTCTGGTAGGCTTGATTATTATTCACCTTCTCAAATGCAGAGATAAGACCAAAAAAAATGAGCAAAGGGTGGTCTGGGTTAGTCTCAAAGGATGTTTTCAGACTTAATCTACTTTCATTCACCAAATCTACTGAGACCTCCACATGTGTTTTAGGATACAGTGACTGGTGACCCCATGCAAACCTGTCACCTCTTTCCTACATGTATCAGAACTATGGGAACACAAGTTATACAAGGTGGGAGTAAAGGATGTGGGAAGCCAAAATCAGGTTTCTATATTAAGAGGACACAGAAGCTAAAGAGTTGTTAGAAAATGTGTTTAGTGGAGTGGCATTAAAGAAGATTACTCAAAATACCTCAATGTGGGTGCTGCACTTGCTCAGCTTAGGAAATACCAGACAGTAGCGTGGCAATTAATGCCAGAGAGACAAGTCAAAATTTTCACTTGGAAAGAACATGACAGATCCGAAGTAGAAAGGCTGGTGAATCATAAGCATGGAGCAAGCTGCTGAAATTATATTTGTGCTGAGATCCTTTGGAGGCAAAGTACAGAGAGGGAAGAAAAGGTGACTGAGTGCAGCTATTTCTTGAATGTGCAGAAAATGCTGAGGAGAGAATGAGGACCCCTGAAGGCGTTGTAAGAAAGATTAAAGATGTGGAAGCCGAAACAGAATTGTGGAAGCCAAATGAAAGTATGAAGAGTAACCTGAGCAAATCTCTTGAAAGCAGGAGACAGCTCAGAGGAGGGAGCAGTAGCGTTAGCTAGAAATAAATTAATAGAGGCTTTTGTGGGACCCTTAAGAGACAACTGGCTTTTCCAGAAGCTTGGGCTGAAATGCAGCATCAATAGAACAGTCTGTTCCTTGTTGCCTTCATCGTAAGGAAGCTGCTGAGAGGGATGCACTATTCCTTCTCCTTCCCCCAGCAGCTCCTGTCTCTAAAATACCGATTTTTACAAGTAACAGTTTAAAATGTTTTTAAAGTGACAGTTTAAAATCAGAATGAAAGACTCGTCTTACCACCATTTCTGAACTTTATGGAAGTCATGAGCTAAGTACACTGATTCAGTGGAGCACAGGAAGCAGAAGCCAAATCAGGGAAGATCTAGGCTAGAACTGAAGAAGAAAACTGAGCAGTGATTGTAGATGTGCTGCCCAAGGAGCAGACCCACAGCAAGGAGGGGAGAACAATTGGAGTCAAGGACAGGCTTCTTAAGGTGGGAAAGGCTAAAGTAGCCTTGGGAAGCATTGCTCCTTGCACCTGCAGATGGGCTATGTCCTCTTTCACAGTGAATCCACTCAGGAGGCAGCAGGAGAACATTACTGTTATCAAGGATAATGACTGTAACTGTGACACTGACATTATCAGGGCCACTCAGATAGCACATGCACGAGCTCCAAGCTGTTGTCCTTTCACACAACTGAAATCAGAAAGAACATTCCGATACTGAGTAGGACAAAAAAAAAACCGGTTGTTATGGGCTCAGGCACAGCTACTCCCAGGACACTGCTTTGCCTTCCAGCCTGCCTGGACTGCAGCGAGGTGCAGAAGATTCTCTGGCATGTCTTCATGAGCTAAGTGTAAAGTTATTGTTGTTATGGGATGGGCTAGTGATAGAAACTGGATGAACTTGTCTGGAGACACAGAAGAAGCTCCTTTCAACTAGCTCAATCCAGATAACACCAAACTGAGAGATAGACCCAAGCCAAAGTCATCCAAGCCTGGAGATCTTTATTAAAATAAGACATTCAGATTTTGAATGTTAGATATTTAAACTCAATATCCTCTCTTGCTGCAGGTAACCTCTCTAATGTGTGTTTAAAAAACCCGATTTTCTCTATGATCTCTTGCCTTTTTTCTTTATGCATTTTTTCCCCATTGGACAGGTTATATTATAAGGTTTACAAGGTGCTGCATGTTCAGTTTGACTTCCTACAGCGTGGAACAAGCTGAAACAGCTGGTGGCTGGCTGCGGTTGCCAGCACTCCAGTTCTCAGGCAGGAATGAAGAAATGCTGCAAAATGGCAAATAGGGTCTCAGGTTCAACCTTTTGAAAAAGAAAACAAATATGGGGTTATGGTAACAGATAAGAAATGGGGAGGTTTTAAACATTGACTTAGGAGTTGTCAGGCTGTGTCATTTTTATTTCATCTGGAAAGCAGTAGAACAAACAGAAAAATACTGTACAGGCCAAAATCCAGCGATCTTTTTTAATTCTGCATGTTACAGTGACTCCACCTAAGCCATTTGTCTGGATGTTATTTGGCTGGGCTGCAGTGGTGTGTATGCAGTCTCACTTAGTTATCCATTTTAAGGATCAGCCTTCCACTCAGAAAGATAAGAGAAATGTCAGGACAGAAAGCAAGAATCTGTGATTCACAAAATGTCACATGCTTTGGTTTCTTCACTGAAATTTCTGCAATGAGAACCACCTGCTCCTGGTAGTAAGGCAGCATCTCTTGTTGGAAAGTCAAACAGCTATTTCAGTGGAGTCTGGGAGAAAAAAGGCTACAAGAAAGAAACTCTGCCAGAAGCTTCAGCAGCAGCCCTGCAAGACCAGAGAGGAAGTACAGCAGATCCTTCAAGGTCTGAGCCCAGCAGAAGGCTGCTAGTTCCAGTGAAATCAAGACAAAGCAGAATTAAACATACAGCAAACAATGAAGGAAGACAGTGAAAGAAACACAGTGAGGGAAAAAGCGGGTGATATTAGGAAGAGGCCAAGGAGCAGGATCAGAGTTTGAGCTAGCAGTTGCCCTACCAGGCAAGGAGCTACATAGCTCAATCCCAGCACAACTGGCTGATGCTGCAACGAGGGCATCTTCTCAAGATGCTGCTGCTAGGTAGGACCCTTTGCCATGTGCAGTGCCAGTGCTGGATATGAAAAAGCATTCAAACTGCAGCCCCTACAGTACCCTGTTTTTCATTTGTTGTGGCACACTCCCTACTAGGCTGAAAGTAGATCTGAGATGTATCTCTAAAATCAGGGCTGTAACTTCTTGGTTTTCAAAACAGAAAATCTAAGACTGTCTGCTTGCCCACATCACATATTTATGTTGTGAAAGCCAGCATAGAAATGTCTGCAAAGGGCCAGCTTGTAACATGCTTATCTGAAGTATCACTTTGCTCTTGGATGTCACTACACTTGGCTGTCCACTCGATTAGATGAACTTCCATGGTTTTCAAGAGCTATTTGAAAATATGAATAATAGAAGGGAAGATGATATCCAGAAAGAAAGAGAGGGGTAGGATCTGGCCTCAAGTAATATGTAGTATTTGGGTGGGAAGTGCTGAAAGCACACAACTGTTGCTTTTGATTTTAATTGCAATAGATTTTAAGGGAATCACAATTAATATGACATGAAGGCTCAGATGGAATGGCCTGGCACAAACCAAGCCTGTGGTTAGTTTAAACATCTATCATGCTGACCTCTTGTAAATCAGGGTCAGAAAACAATGAGAGGGCAGGCGAGTGTTTGCGCTGTTGTTTGCTGACTGGATGTTCAAAGGAATGCTGGAAGAATGTGCCAAGAATCTGGCTTTGTCAGGGAAAAAAGTTCTTGTTTTTGAAAAGACTGACAGACCTTCAGAGACAAAGAGGAGCGAGCTGGTGTGGAGGGGAAGAAGGCTACAACCAGAAGCAGAACTTCAGTCTTCTAGACCCAGAAGTCTGCTTCTTTAGTCTTCTTTCTCCAGGTGTTGCTAAGAATTAGTAGTAGTAGAAGTATGAGGCATCAGGCTGTGTGTGACACAAGTCCCGAGGGTGGGAGCGAAGTGGGGGTTATTACAGCATCTTGGCACCATGCAAGGCTTGTGCAGGAGCCTGCAGAGTTAGGGAGAGCAAACCCGGGGTTGCTGAGGTAACTCTCAATTGAATGCACTGAGAAAAGCAGATCAGCAAGCTCTGGCATTGCCACAGAAATCTGGGCCAGGAACTAAGATGAGGCCCAGTGTATATTTTATGCTATTGTTATGGCCAGAAGGGCTCAAATGATGAAGGACAGTCCTCTAAAGCCAGTAGTTCTCACTTTAAGGCTACCTTACTGTGCCATAAAATATCACTGGAGCAAGAGAAAACAACTTCCTAGTTGCTGAAATAATTCAGCATTTAAAAGGGGGCACTGCGATGCACTATCAACACCCACAAGATGTATCAGAAGAAATGGGGCGAGTGGACCTGCTGTGGAAAGCATGAGAAGAACAAAAAGACATTTAAGTTGGATGAGCGATCTGGGTGCCACGTTTGAAATATACTGGTTGGAAGTAAGGCAAGGGAGCATCCTAGTTAAAACCAGACATGTGAGGGCTCCCTTAACGGCAATTTCTAAGGTCAATAAAGTAGAGCTAATGAAGTACACTCAGTGGGCAATCAAGCAGGAATCCTGTGACTGACTTAAAATGTTGATCACAGAAGCTCTGGAAAATAACTGAGAATATCAAAAATAGAAAAATACCTTTTAGCTGAGACAAACCTCCTGATTTTTATTCTTGGCTGTTTTTTCATGTCCACATTTCTCCTAACAACTATTATTATAGGAATATTATACCTAAATAAGAACTAATTTTTGTCTTTCAGAAAGCCATTAATGCAGACGGTGACACATGAATGCTTGATTGCATAGTTTAACTTTTAAAGCCATGTTGGTTTGATGACTTTGGGTTGAATTAGCTCAGCAGAGTGATGGCAGCTTCCCAGGATTTTTCACCTTAGATGAACCTATAGACAAAAGATCAAATCATAAATGCTTGTTTTCCTGGAATGACTAATTGGGAGACTTTTGGAAACACGCTGGCAAAGGGCTTTGCAAAGTGTGTCAGGGCAGGGGATAACATAAAAAAAGCCAAAATGTCTCCAAACCCTAAGTTCTTAAATAATTGTTTGTAAGTTTGCAGCTCTTTATGTGTTAGCTACTGGATAAATACAGTCCTGTCTACTGGGGCACTACATTTCCCTATATATCAAAACCATCTGAAAGAGTGAAAGCAGCAGCTCTTTTCAGCAGCAGCAGAGGACATTAGCCAGGCCTTGTTGCCTTAGTGTTTCACGTATCTTGGTACTATAATTTTGATTAAACCTAAACATGGAAATCACCTACTTCCTTGGTTTTCAAAATAACTTCCAACCCACTCAGTTATTTCAGCTGGAGCCATGGGCTGGCAACAAGGGAATGGTAAGTCAGGAGTGGTATTTTTGGACTGTTAAATACATGTTTATAAAGCAGTCTGAGGGCAAGAGCAAGAGATTGCAGAGGGTGAGAAAAGCTGGTTCTGGAAAGAAGCTGAATGAAGGTGGCACTGGCAGTCAGGGAGGGCAGCTAAACCCTCAGGAGAAGGGCAAGGATGTTTAAAGAAGTTAACTCATGGCAGTTTTATTTAGAGCTTGTTCTCGGTGAAGAGCTGACTCCTACATCTTTACAGCTTTAAGCTGTGATCCCATCTGCTCTAACATTGAGGGTTGAGCTTGGAAAATACCAGGAAACCTTGGCAGGGTGCTGGAGCTGACACTGGTAGCTGCATCGCCATCTCTCCTCTGCCATGACAGCCTCTGAGTCCTGAGGGAGCACTGTGCTTCTGGCATGGCATTTGAGCTGCTGTGTAAGCCAGAAGCTACCAAGAGTCATTCTCCCAACCCAACCCTTCCAAAAATGGCAAGGTAAAACCCCATCCTGATTCAACCTAAGTCTGTTACCCCGTAGGCTTGGCTGATACCTAGTACTTGGTGGCCACTCCTGCAGTATATAACTTAAAATAATCTTACACAGTTTAGTGCTTCGGCTGGGGAAGGGTTTCCCTTAGCAAATTAAGGTGGAAGAAGGAGAGGTTCTCCCTGCTCTGTCAGGATAATGGCTGTTATGGCATGGATGGAACTATGGCTTTAGGCAGGCTGGGTTTGGCCTTCAGGAACCTCCAGGAAGAAATCTCTGGCATTTATGAGCAGGTGAAATACAGAGCAGAGAAAAGCAGCTGTGCTCCATGCTGATTGTTATGATTCATAACCAAGACTTTATATTCTACTCTTTTTTTTTCTTACTAGAAATGGGACTTTTAAGGTTTTAGTATGACCTTTGGAATGTCTGCTTAATGGTGACTGAGAACAGTGATGACACATCTTTCGCTCCTCGGTGTCCTGGTTTTGGCTGGGATAGTTAATTTTCTTCCTAGTAGCTGGTACAGGTTTTGATTTAGGGTGAGAATAATGCTGACACTCAGGTAATGAAGATTTACCTCAAGAGCTGTGACTCCCATAGGACACTGGTAAATGAACATTTGGTGAGCTTACCATGAGCTGCACGACCGCATTTCGGTACTATTTAGGAATGTATTAAATGTTGTACCAATAACTTAAATTTTCGTAGGTAACAATAGTATAAAGAATCATATTTTCTTTTTCTATACTAAAGGAGGCTAAAGGACTATTTGGTATAACAGTCACACTGAAAATGATGTGATTTTCATGCATACACCTATACAAACTAAAAACTGGCTCCAATCTTGCTAAGACTTGGTGGGGGCTTAAATCAGGGCTTGTGAGCAGTTGTGTTCAGTTGGTCTGTATTTCTCCATAGAAAAGGGGCCCATATGGACACTATGGCATTAGCTTGTTATTCAAATACAGAGAACATGAGCTCCCTTTATATGCACAGCTTTATATGCAGTTTTCACAACCTATTTTGACTTAACAAAATGCTGTTGCCCTGCATATAATATTTTACATGTCTCAGAGGCTGCTGAAGTTGAGACTGTCTACACACAGTTTGAGGGACAGAAAATAACTGCAGTAAATCTGTACCTGGCCAAAGATTTCAGATCAGCCTGGGGCAGTGCCATGATGTGCCTTGACTTCCTTCTTCCCTTCTGCACAGGAAATACGTTTTTATACTTGACTCTTTTTCTAAATGAATGGAACACAATCAGGAAAACACTCTCTAGCTTTGGGCGCCAGCTTGTGACCCATGTGGGGAAAATACCAAATATTTTGAGGCATATTTTGGCTAAGCTGCCACAAGATATGGCTGAAGCCTGACGGAATCAACTGTGTGCCAGACCTAATCTGGATAAACCCTCCTGTGTGCTTTTCTGAGTACTGGAGCTAGAAATACTGCAGCAAAGCAGTTTGCTGTGCTGATTTGTGTCTCAGTGGCGGATTCTTCCTCTAGCCACAGCTGCTGCCTAAGCTCCAGGAGCAAAGGAATCCACGCTGACTGATGGTGGTGGCACATGAAGTCCTGTCTCCATTCCTCACAAGCAGGTTAGCTTCTGCACTCTGATACTTTTGGACACAAACCAGGGGTTTTTTTTTGTCTTTAAATTAAGTATTTGCTGCTTTTCTTAAAATCCCCCATGAAAGACCAGTAAGTACCACCCAGTCAACTGTCTTGTCAGTTCATGGGTTTGTTTTCTCTAAGGGGGGGGGGTGTGAACTCACCGGTGTTTGTGCTGGTTCTCCAAGTCATCCTTCACCTCGCTCCCAGCACCTCCTGAGCTTGGAAAATGGTTTCTGCCCAACACAGACTAAGAGGAATGGAAATAAAGATCTAAGGAATGGAAATAAAAATCTAAGGAAAAGAGTAAAGCCTGAGATGGGAAGACCTAAAAACCTCCGAAAATAAGATGGAGAGGCTTAGAAACAACATGTTAGAAACAACACTGAGATCTGTTCAGATGAAGTAACATAGGCATCTGATGTGGCTGATTAAATTCAAGACACAGAGGGATTCAGACTGACCTAAGAGCTGAGACTGCCTCAGATACTATTTAGGCAAAATAGTACTGGAAATGTAGATTGGGTGTTTGTAATTAAAAGCTCGAATGCAGTTAATAGCATCATGTAATTATGTGGAATGCCTTCTGGAGGAAGATAAACAATTTCAGTTTATTATGGTTTTCTCTCCCATTCTCTCACAAATGGGCCCAGGACCAAACTGCCTCTCAGCAGAAAGCCTTCCATCCCTGCACTCATTCAGCAGGTCATATTTAACCATCTTAATATACTTCCTGTACACTCACTGGTGGACCCATTCCAATCAACACTCTATAGTTAAAGTTTTTAATGGCACTCCATTTCTTACCCACCTTGCCTTTTCCACTGCTCATGCTACTGCTGAAAATTCCTTTGTATCTTGTCTGCTTTTTGTCTCTCTGTGCTAGTGTTTATGCTGAGCTATTATTTCCAAAAGCTAAATTTTGAACACTCTCACCTCATTCCAAAGTTCCCAAGAAAAGCCAGAAACACTATGACAATAATTCTCATGAAAACCCAAACAAATAAATCAATTAAACAACACTAGCGTGATTCAGAAAAACAGAGATATTCATGCCCACATCAAAGAGTGACACAGTAGTACTCGCCTCTCCTTTTTATTCTGATATCCTCCTGTTTTCCCTCCAAGATATATTAATGCATGTTTTCCCAGTCTATCCAGATTAGGCAAGAAACTGTTTTCAAAGACACAAAATGACTGAGGATGAAGCGGGGCACCCACCCAAGCACGTGAAGTCCCATCAAATTTCCTTTGATGCTTAAGCACCTTTGAAAATTTGCCCTTGAATGTCTCAGAACAAGGGCTTACCTTTCCTGGAAACCAACATACATTTGTGAGTGTCATTAAAACCTACAAGACTGGCAAGAATGTGCTTAAAAGACACCAGGATAGAACACAACATAAAAATTGGGTGTAATTGGAGAAAAGCAATCTGAAGAAAAGACATTAAAACTTCTGATTGTTTAGGAAAATTACTGGGGAAAAAAAAAAAAAAAGCACTTTAAGATAACTCTGTTTTCTGGAACTGTTTCCAAAAGATCTTAGCTAAATTCCAATGTTTTTCTATGCAAATTCAATAGCTATGAAGGCATAGCATATATCTTCCAGCAATAGAGTTGTCCCTTGTATAACCTCATGACTTAATAGTGCTGACAAATGTACAAAGCTTTCCTAACAGTAGGACCAATGGAGTTTGGAACATGTGTAGTAATGATTTAATGTAATGAGATGATTAGAAATGAGATTTTCTTACCATAATCAGATGCCCAATCGTGCAGGCATAAGAGAGACTGCCAGATCATAATACAAGTCATTCTTATCTTTTTCTGCTATGGAAAAAAGGGGAAATCTTTCATGCCACTCCTGAAAGAAACTAAAGGTCATCCTTTGAGTAGTATCCAAACCTTTTTCTTTCTTAGTATTACAAACAAATTGCTGTACTGCAAAGTCCAGTAGTTTGTCAGTAGTTCATTGCTCCATGCAGCAGCAGAAGGAACAAGGCATGACAGCAAGTATTTAATTAATTGACTCTAAAATTTCTGCAGATTTGGAACTCCCTTTGTGTTCCAAAATGACTGCTGGTAACAGTGAAAAGTTCAGCTGCGGATACATGTGTTCATGTGAAGGTACAAAGAAACCGAGCACTAGTTTATCGACAGAAAGGGAGGTCGTGTCAGCCAGTACATCACAGCAGCACAAGTTAGTATCCAAACTACAGCTGACATCCTTCAAGGAGCCTACAGAGGCTCACTCAGAACTGATGTCTCCTTTTTCCCTTCTATAATGTATTGGCTATTCTCTGTGCTTTCTGCAAAATAAATTACAACCTTTCTTCAGTATGCTAGCACTCCCTGTTCCATTTTGGTTATCTTTCCCCACTCATAATTTATATTAAGTGAGGAATATTGCTCTTTCTTAACAAAAGATTACCCTTTTAACACCACAAAATGATCCCACAGTATAGTTTATGGCTTGTGATCAATCTTTTCTAGCTAGCACTGTGCTGTTGCAGTGTTCTCACTGCTCGGAACATCCCTGGCATACACAGCAGTCCCTACTGGCACACACTGTTCAGCTACTGGGATAGCTGTATGTGGTTGGCTGCCCAGAGGAACGCATATAGCACTAAATGGGTAACTGTGAAAGGTGTATGAGATTAGGATTAAATCTTTTATTTTCCCTCCATTTTTTTTCTCTTTTGAGGATGAGTAAAGTACCTGGCACTGCTTCTCTCACCTATGAGGTTTCAAAGGTGACCACTGGAAAAAGCAAAGGAAGACAATGACTCATCCTCCTTAGTTACTTTGTGAGCTCTGGGGAGTGCAACCACAGCTAACTTTTGGAAGACTGAATTGAGGTAACATACACCCACATTAACTTCTATGTGTAAATTCCTCCCTCCAATCTAAGGAGAAAAAGTACGTAAGATACCCTTCACGGTACACTTAGATGCTGCATTCATCTCAGATCTTTATATGTAGACTACAAGAGGCTTTGGAAAATGTTTAAAAAGATAAAAGAAGAGAAAAACCTTCCCAAATGTGATGGTTTGACAGAAGGGCAAGGATCAGCCTCTACCTCTTGCTATACCACCCTGCAATGTTTTTCTTTTGAGATTCTCTTTTTTAACTGCAACTGAAAACTGAAGTTTCCAAAGTAGCTAGAATCAATTACATGAATGTGTAACAAGTCCGACTAAAACAGGGGTTTTAGTTGCTATTTTATCTGAAAAAATTAAAGTGCAAACATACGCAGCAAAACTGTTTTGGCCTTTCTCTTCTTCAGTATAAAGAAATGTTAAAATTTAAAACTCCAGTATTTTTACTGAAATAAAGATTATTCTTACCACAAAGCAGTAACGATATCTCATGGCATAAGTACATCTCCAAGTGCTTTACTGTGTATAAATTGCGATGATTTGACTCTTTCACAGATCAGAAACTGTTCTGCTGCCTGATATCACATACAGTTAATATTGTATTTTGGGGGAAAATGCATTTGACATTGTAGAATTTATTAATAAAACTGAGGATTAGCATAATAAGGTCAGGAAATATAACACTAATAGTAAGCAGTCAAAACCCAAATACTATTTTCTACTTTGCTCAACTGTAAGTACAAGAATGCAGCAGCTAATTGAATTGAAAGAAATATTTCAATTACAGACCTTTTAGACTGTTTAAGTGCTATATTTTAACCAGAAACTACCTGATATTCAGACTGTACATACAGCTTGCAACATGGAATCCTAAATGATATTCAGTTAACAGTGTTGCAGGAATTATTGTTCCTACTTTGGCTTTCTCTCCAGAAAATCACTTTCAGCTAGTTTGGAATTGGACCATATATAAGCATGAATGAACAGGATAAAGTCTGAAACCTGATAGCTGCTAAATGTTTATGTAATTTTAAACCAAATTACTGCCCATGTTAGCTTGTACTAACAACAGGTAGGGAAAGGATGCTTGTGTTAAGAATGCATGAGAAGAAAAACTGAGATAAAAATGGATGCCTACCAAATGCATAAACATGATGTCCAGAAAACGAGTGGATTGTAAAGAACATCCTCTCTTCTTCAGTAACAGATGTTGCTGAACTGATCTAAAAGCAATACATAGCTGTATGGGTCATAGGGTTCAACCACAACTGAAAACATGTTTAGTGGCCTTTTTAGTTAAAGGAATGGAATCAAGGCTCTTATTGAACCAGGAGACAGCTACAGAAAAAATGATAGTCTTTTTTTAAACTCTCTGAGCACACTGAAAAACCTAGACCCCATAGTAATCAGGCTTACATGCATAATTACCTATTTCCTCAGTTACACTAATGGTATTTTGGAATCTGATTACTAAAGTAATTGAAAACTAATTTTTCAGATGAAAGCGCTTCAAGCAAAGAGTAACATGGATGGCAACTGAGACATCTGCATATGCTCAGAGATATAAAGGTACAAAATTCAAATATGACATTAGAAGAGAAGAATACCTCTCATTCACAGTATAATTGCACATGCAAATTCACTAGTGAAATCTGTTTGGTGCTTTTGCACAATGTTAAAAATATGATAGCAGGAGGAAGTATAACTAATTCGAAGAAACATTTCAGTTTTTATCTTTTCTATAAATCTGGTCTTTTCTATTAAGAATGTAGATGTTAATAATTTGAATCTTTTAACGAAAGAACTTTAACACAGTCTGAATTATGCTCATCTACAGTACTTCATATTTTCACACTCATTTCACACTAATTCATGTGTTACACTTTGTTGTTGTTGTTGACCATTGCAGTAAGAGGAATTGGATTGTGACTTTTTAAGAAGAAAGGGAAAAAGGGAAATAACCTAATGGATCTCCTGGACTTAGGCTAAGCCTAAGCCTACCTGCCTATGCAATGTGCCAATACTACTAAATCCATAGAAATCAGAAGTGTTAAGAAAAACTTTTAACACTCTCATAGAAGAAAAAGAGATGAAACTTTTCACCATCTTCTCCCATGTGCTATGGGTGGGCTTTCTCCTCTAAAACAGAAGGAAGTTGCTCTATGAAGGAAACCTTCTCCACAGAACTCTTTTATAATCTAGGTGAAAAGAATAAAGATTTCTCTAGCAATCACAATAACTCTTTTATCTTCTTCACTGCATTAACATCATGGATTTTATCCAAATAACAATAGCTTGTGAGCCCCAGGATGCATACACAAGGGATGTTTAGATTACCAGTTAAGTGCATATTTTTGAGGAGCTTTTACAGGACATGTGAAATACG